AAGACTGAAGGTCTAGCCAGGGACCATGGCTCATGATCTTCTCTCTCCAGATATTCATTTTATCCACAGAGCTATATTTATATCAGCTTGTTAAGTAATAAACCCATAAATCCGTATCTTACAGATTTTTATACACTGAGTGAAGTAAATTTTTTTCTCACTTTGCTTTCCATAAAGAAATGAAGGGATTTTTCAGAGCCCTTTTTTTTGGTGGAAATCTCAGGTCACTGCAGCAGCCGGGTTACACCTCCACTAATAGTTCTTTTATTTAGGGCATGCTAATTTCCTGTTAAAAATTGGGAACTGGATCTGTCAGGATCTGATGTCCACCAGCTTTCCCAAATAATTTGAAAAGATCCTGCTCTCCTTTGCCACTGCCCTGGCCTCTGTCACTGGCCTTCCTTTCACCACTGGGTCATAGACTGCCCCTCCCAAAATCTTGGTTAAAGGTGGTGTGGTTCTCTTGTGCCTGTCAAGCAGGGTTGGAAGGGACCTTAAAGATAATTTTGTTCCAATCTCCTAGCATGGACTGGGACACCTTCCATTAAACCAGGTCGTTCAAAGCCCCACCCAGCCTGGCCTTGAACATTCCCAATGACAGAACATCCACAACCTCTGTGGGGAACCTTTGCCAGTGTCTCACCAGTCCCCATAGTAAAGAATTTTTTTCCTAATCTATGATCTAACCCTGCCTTCTGCTAGTTTGAAGCCATTCCCCCTTGTCTTGTCACTTCATGTCCTTGTAAATAGTCTCTCTGCATCTTTCTTGTCAGCTCCCTTCAGGCACTGGAAGGCCACCATTAGGTTGCCCCAAAGCTTCTCTTTCCCAGGCTGAACAATCCCAATTCTGCCAGCCTTTCCTCATGGGAGAGGTGCTCCATCCCTCTGATCATCCTGGTCCCACCTCTGGACTTGTTCCAGCAGGTCCATGTCCTCCCTGTGCTGGGCACCCCAGAGCTGGATGCAGCACTGCAGGTGAGGTTTCACCAGAGACCAGCACCTGCTTTGGGCCCTTTCCTGAATGCCCCAACAGTGAATGGCAATGCCAAGGATTGTGTGAGTGACCCTGGAAGGGTCCCCTGCTGCCTCCATCCCCTCTTGGCTTTGCTGCTGGGGAGCTTCTGCTGTATTGGAGACAACAGGCAGGGCATGGCTGTGTCCTTCTGCGCCTGTGGGTTTCTCACCAGAGAAACCACGTTCCTGCTGGGCTCTGAGAGCTGATCGTACTTGATCTTATCACCTCTATCTGCAGCGCTGCTACTGTGCTCTTCCCTTCTGCCCTCCCAGCACAAACCAGCCATTACCCACTCCATAAAATCCTTATTACAGCTGGCTGATGAAGCTCCCCCTCATCGCCTCCTCTCTGCGGAGACCTTGGTTGGAAACAGATTATTACATTTTTCATGCCAATTTCATTAAAAAGAAAAAATCTGAAAGGAAAACTAATTGTGCTTTGTGATACTTAAGGAAATTAAGTCTTCGAGGAAATGTAATCTTCAGCTCTTTATTTGACTCCAAATGCGTTAATTTATTTATTTGTATCATCGATCAACACAGTACATAAAATTATTACCCCCATATAGTAGATTGGAAAAAATTTACTGTCATTGCCTGTGTAATCAGATATACTCTTGTTACTAATTTCTAAACAGATTCAATGGGAAAAAAATGACCTTCCAGTCTTAATTTCATGCCCTACTTCCTGAAAAATTAAACGGGAAGTGAGCACACACAAAACCAGCACAGATGCAGAGTGTGAGGCTGGTAACATCTGCTTTATTTGCTGCCCCTCTGCCATTCATGAGCTGAACTCATTTCCCTGTTCTTTGATATTACATTTCAAACAAAATCTTGAGTAGATCTCATCAAAACACTCCTCCGGGCATTCCATTTCCATTCCCTCTGTCTTGCAGGTACAAATTATTATTTCATTTTACATGTGCAGGGACACTGAAAGCCCTGAACAGGCACTGGAAGAAAAACTATGAAATGGAATATTTAATGAAAGACAGCAGCTGAGCTCTCTGAGAAATCAAAAGCTGCTGATCTTGAGGATTCATTGAATGAAATTTTATTAATCTTATTACCCTAAAGAATTGCTTTTTATGTATGTTTTTCAAACAGCATCAAATCCTCATCAAAACAGACACTGCAGTGCAAGCACCATGCTCTCTGCTATTGACAGAAGCAGTGTGGTATTTGCATATGATTTAAAACAAGGCTGGCAGCACACAGCACAATTATTGGCACTCTGGTATTTATTGTCAGTGTTCATTATTTATTAGAACCATAAATCCAGCATGGCAACAAGCACCACCAATTCCCATTTCAGCAAGGAGCCTCCTCAGTGCCCAGCCATTGGTGTAAATTATTTCAGTTATCCAGCTGTTTGGTACATGGATGTGTACATACATATATGGCATATATGTACTTATATATATAAAAGATATGTGGTGGCAGAGCAGCTTGTAATCCTTGAAAAGCTGTGGATGATCACACTGAAGCAAATCTCCCAGCAATACTTCATTAATTTAAACATATTAATGCAATCTGGTTCTTGCCTGGGAACTCCAGTTTGTGTTAATGTGATGGGCAGGACCTGGAAGCCAGGCTGGCCATGGAGGGACTGCTCACCTAACCCAGCTTCTGGGCTCCAGGTCTCCCAGTGCCTGTTCCTGACCTCCTGGGGTTACTGTGGCCTGCAAGGCTTCTTGCTGCAAAAACAGTTTTAGGGGACAGAGGCAGGGGTGGAGGAATCACACACTAATCACACGCTAAGCATGGTTCTGGCTCGCAGCCCCAGTGCCTGTGTGCAAGGGAAGGCAGGGCAGATCTGCTACAGGGGGATGCTCTGGGTCAGGCACAGAATGGGACTTCAATCACCCACCCAAAGCTGAAATCACACCTCAGCCATCGTGGCTGCTTTCCCCCAGAGCTGGCTTGAAGCTCACTCTTCAGGAGCCATTACTGAACTTTTCTTTGTAGCATCTGATTTATTAATCATAATAGTTTTTCTGAGGAATGAGTAAAATAGAACCATTCAGTGCAAAATGACGAGCGTTTAGCTTCTCATCAGTTCCAGTTAGTAAATGTGAGTATTGCTGTGAGCCCCTTGCAGCTGCCAAATGAGGTGCACAGCACACGATCTCCAGGTGAGATGTGAGCATTGTTCCCACAGCTGGGCTCCCTCCTGTCACATCCCTGTACCGATGGAGACAGATGTGCTACAGCTCCTGCTTGCATTAAACACTCAGGTGATGAATGACTCCTTACAGCACAGGCTACATGTAGGAGCACAGCATGAAGCCAGCCTTGATGAAAAAAAGCAAAATATGCAGATATTTATTTTTTCACCAAATGGACACAGCGTTGTTCCTGAAGTAACAGATTTCAACAAAAAAGTAATTTCAAAAAATGAAAGCATTCCTCTAGGACAGTACAATGCACTGAAAAAACTTAATTACAAATCCCAGGCAAAGTATATTGTTATCTGCCCTGGTTCTTCACTGTCTGGAAGTTGTCTGGCCAGGGAGTGAAACAACACATCCATGCAAATAAATCCTCCCAAGGCAGGATACTATCCACATTCACACAACTTCCAGCTGGTTCAGAACACAGGCAGAGGTTATTCTTTCCCACTACCAAAAGATACTGGTTATGCATACTCTAGACCACACTCATTTTTATACACAGGAGTACTGAAAAAAGAGACAAAAAAATGTAAATTTGTTTTTCCTCCACCAGATGCTACACCCAAAAATGTATGTACAGAAAATGTTACAGTTCAACCATGCCAAGTAGAAAACAATCACACTACAGGTATCAAAATTAAAACCTTTATCTACTGTCTCATTTTGGTCATGTGTTCTTCAATTCACACCAAATCCTCAGTCCAAACCTGGGACATACAACAAAGCCCCCATACACTTTTTTTTTTTTTAGTGAGAGCTGGGTTGTTTCACTGCAGCTCAGTACTTGGACTGGAGTTCTCTTACCAGCTGGATCCTTTTAAAAGCCTTTCATCTTCTACACTTTGTGAAAGAAACTTTGTTACAAACGTGGGCTTGGGCTTGCTTTGTTCAGTCAAACACAGAACCTGCTCAGTCTTTGAAAGTTTCTGCTAGAAACAGGTCAATGCAGCCTTTACCAGGTCACCCTCAGCACAGAGAAGACAGGGCGCCTTGGGGGATTGTCTCGGTTCTAGAAGACAGGTGTCTGCTAGGGAGGGCAGGAGCCTCCCTTGGAATGAAAAATGTAGACCCCCTCCCTCCGAATTATGATAATCCTGAAATCAAGGGGCTCTCAGGCAGAGATCTGGGGATAGGAATAACAGTTCTTCACTAATATTTATAACAAGACAAACAAACAACAATAACTATAGCATTAACAACAAAACAGAACCAGGGACCCCGTGACAGCTTTCTCGGCTGAGACGGGATGGAGGAGAGGCTTTGTTTTCACAAACCCCTCGGGCAGTCAGTCCCGGTGCTCCTGCAGGGCTCTGAGGAACACTCGGCTGGAACAGCAGGGATGAGCAGAGATCCTGGGCCGGTGGATGAGGTGGATCAGCAGAGGAATGAGCAGAGATCCTGGGCCGGTGGCTGAGGTGGATCAGCAGCTCCGGCGCGGTGCCGGGCACTGCCACACGTCCCGGCAGGACAGGGGGTGCGACGCCACCAACAAAGAGGGAAGAAGGAGAAGCAGCAGCTCCGTCTGGGTGATGGCGAAATTCCATTCTCTCTACCGCAGCAGCTCCGCACCCCAGAAAAAAATGTCTTTTCCCGAAGCCGAAGAAAGCCCACCAAAACCGTCCCCACCCTCCTTTCCTGCCCCCTTCCCCCCCTGGGCTCGGCCACTCTTTGTCCTCTGTTGAGCACCCACTAAGTACCCACAGTTACGTTGTCCCTGCAACTAATGGGTAAAAATTCTACGGGCAAGCCAGAACAACAAAAAAAAAAGGACACCTAACCCCCAACAGGGATTTAATGTTACAGCAGATCTGTGTTCTACAATTTATTTAATCCTAATCTCAAGATATAAAGACTCACATTGCAGCTTATCAAATTTATATGAGAAAAAATTACACTTTAAGAATTCCTATATTTAGGCCAAGAACTCAATGACAGGGCTTGAAAACAGTTTTCCAAAAAAGATCAGTTTATTTTGGCGGGTCTGTGTTAATTCCATATTTTTCTTTGAGAAGTTTAAGCTGTTCTTCTTTCTTCTTTGTGTCCATCTTTTGGAATGCCTGTGATTAGGAAAATAAAAGATGTAAGATGTAAGAAGCCTCTCATTTTATGACAAGTTATTTCCCAGTATCTGGAACCAACATCACTGTGAACTCCATCACCATCACACACCCAGAGTACTGTTCGATTCTTGCCTTTGGAGAATGTCACAGGCCCCTAGATGCTCTCAGTGACACTGAGAACATCGAGAACTTTTTACCCATAAATAAGATCTCAGCTCCTGCTGCAGCTGTGCAATTGTAGGGCATCTGCACCCTGTTCTACAGAATACACTCCCCACAAACATGTTTTTCACACCCTTTGTCCAAAGGTACTTTTTTTGCACAAATCAAAAAGTAAATATGAAACTCTGACCATGTATCCCATTCACTCCCTCTAACAGTTTGGATTTTATTTCTTAAAAATACCAAAGCAACTGTCTTTACAAGCTGATGCTGGGGTTGTTTTTTTGTGACAGCTCTGCTCAGAGGTGACTTCCCCAGCCCAGGTGCACGTACCCTGTTTGCGTTATAGTACAGAACCACGAGGTATCTGTTGCACACATTGAACCCAGACAGGTGGTCACAGGCATTCTTGGCATCGAAGATGTCCTCATAGACCACGTAGGCTGTTCCTCTGGTCTCAGGGGTATTTCCACTGCACAGCAAGGGCAGAATCAAGGTCAAATAAAATGAACAAGAAATAGCTTATTTATTTCACAGTGATTGAGATTAGATGAATTACTGCAACTTCATTAAAAAACAATTTGGTTTTTTTCTAGGTATTAAACTACATCCCTGCTTTCCACACCAAACACTTCAGAGTTAGAGACAACAGGAAAATGTGCTGTATTTTACTCCATAAAGGAAATGCACCTCTCCACAACAACTGGGCTGTTGAAGCTTTTGCCATGTTTGGTCTAGAAATAATTTAAATCTTTATTATAGCAATTAGCTTTTATTTAATATTACAAGACTTGGCTGTCAGTGGCAGTCTAGATCAGATGTGTCCCTAGGATGGAACAGGGCTTCTGGCATATCACAAAGTCAATTTAAGAGGCAGAACAGCCCTGCTGTACAAACCCACTGCTGAGGCACAGCCATCACCTATGGGAGCACCAATTCAATGTCCTTTGCCTGACAGATGGGACGCATGTCTGGGCATGTAACAGTAATGAGCCCAGAGGGGCTGCAGAGTTTACAGATCCCAAAGGTCTCGATTAAAAAAGACAGTGATAGAGACCTCAGTCAGAACTGTCCCTGAAGTGCTTCTGAGAACTCCCAAGGGCAAACAGTATCACACATACCCACACTGCACAAAAGTAAGGAGGAGAATGGGATAAACACTGCACACAGCACAAAAGCCTTTACAAAGGGGCTTACACATTATGGCTTGGCACTGCTGATGTTTGGATTTCTGCGGGAATTACATGAATTAGTAGTTCTGAACAAACTGCTGGATGCACAAACCAGTGCATCACTCCAGTGGAAAGCCCTTGATACATCCTAATTCTGTGCCCACTTTCATGCTGTAGCAGCACACATGTTTTCAGAAAACTTAACTACTGGTTCTCCTTCATGCTCATTAGCAAAAGATTCCACCTATTTGGCCAGGCAGTGTTTACACTCAGCTACTTCTCCAGCCTTCTCCTCCTCCTTCCTTGCTCGAGAAGGGTCTGTCTGGTGTCACATCCCAGAATGGCACCAGCAGGATGTGTCCCCTTGGTGTCCTTTACTTACTGAGGGTAACTCTGTAAAACTCACTTTACTCTACACAACAATCAGTCAAACAAGTTACCCACGGAAGCTGTGGATGCTCCATTCCTGGAAGTGTTCAAGGCCAGGTTGGATGAGGCTTGGAGCAACCTTGTCAGGTGGAAGGTGTCCCTGCCCACTGCAGGGGGTTGGAATGAAATGGTCTTTAAGGTCCCTTCCAACACAAACCCTCCTATGATGATTAGAGCTCATGTCCTCAGCCTTTGAACTAACCAGGAACACTGGAGTCACTGCAGACTTGTACAACCTCCATGCATTTTAGAACCAAAGGCACAGTCATGTCTCCACTGTCCAGACACAGTATGGCCCAAGGACATTCTGTCTCTGACACACAGGGGTTGCTGCTGGTATTAGTTTCTAATGAACAAATCCAGCAACAGCAACATCTCTGTTTTCCCACTAGCTAATTACCAGATACTCATAAATCAGGAAAACGGTACTCAGCTTCTGCCTTTCCTATTTTTACTCCAAGTCAAGGTAAAACTTCAGCTGTAGTTGAAGCTTACTTAAGCAAACAAGTCTCGTATTTTATCAACTTCCCCAAGTTCATCTCAAATTTAAGCTCATTCTCTGCACCTCCCAGCAGAATAATTTCCTAACAACTTCACGTGTTAAGTGCACCTTCACATCCCCTTCTGGCACTCGGGTGAAAATCAGCTGCCACTGGCACTGGAGCACGTGAACCCCTTCATGGTCCAAAGAAAACAGAAATACTCACACTCTGATCTGCCGGATGGGCCCGTACTTCCCAAAAATATCGTACATCTCCTCGGCCGTGATTTTGTACGGCAGGTTCCTGATGTACAGGATCCGGTTGACCTCCGGAGGAAGCCGGATCTGATGGGGGAAGGACAGGCGGTGTGTTAGACCCAAAGCACCTACTGCAAACCTTAAACCCAGCAGCCTAGGGGCTAAATCATGGAGTCACTGAAGCGCGGAATGACTGAGGCTGGAACGGGCTTTCATATCACCCAGCTCCACCCCCCCTGCCGCGTTCCCGTCCGAGCAGCAGGACGGAGCCTGCAGCGGGACGGGGATGCAGCCAGAACCCAGCCCGGCAGGGTCGGGACGGGACAGGGCAGCGCACTCACGTTGGCTCGTTTGGCTGCCTGCATCGCCATGCTGACGGGCGGTGAGTAGGGGCCGCGGGCTGGCACAGAAACACCGGAGGGAAGGAGGCTGGAGCGGAGGCAGCGGCGTGGACCAGGAGCGATGAGCCGGAAGCGCGCATCTATCCCAGCAGGCACCGCGCGCTCCCCTCACGGAACCGGATCCATCCCGGCGTGCACCGCGCGGGAAGCGGCAGCGCGCGAGTCGCGCCAACCCCTCTCCACGTGACCTCGCTCCCAGCCCCGCCCCCCGCGTGACCCCGCCCCCCGCGCCTCAGTCCGGCCCAGGCGCGGCCGCAGACGTTCGGTCCATGGTGCAGGAATTGTGACACGAACTTCTTTAATAAAAGCTTCCTCCTTTATCCTTTCCCCCTCCTCGCCACCCACATGAATCGGTCCCGATGTGCAGCAGAGGCGGCAGGATGGCCGCAGTGCAGCCCCCGCAGTCACTGTCCCAGAGCAGCTATTGCAGCGGCCCTTTCTTGAAGCAAACGGGAATTTCGATGACGATTTTGCCGATGTTCCTGTTTTCCTCCATAGCCTTGTGTGCCTCAGCGATGGCGTGCAGGGGGTAAACGCTGTCCACGAGGGGCTGGAGACGCGGGGAAGCCCCTCCGGAAAAATGGGGCAGCACCTCCTCCGCGAAGGCTCTCACCAGCCGCTCCTTGTACTGCGGAAAATAAACACCTGGAAGGTTATTCCCATTGGCTTCACTCACCGGGGTGCCTCAGAGCACGGCATATAAAATGTGCACAGCCCTCAAGGAGAAACCTTCCGACATTCTCACAATGGAGATAAAAACACGTGACAGGTCTAAATTACAAACAAGAGAACAGGTTTTAGATTTATTACATCTTAATTGAATGAAATTCTCCAAAGCAAGTGGTGTGAGCTCAATGCAGAACTATTTGAATTAAACTGACAAAAGTTCTTGTAAATAATCTCTCTTAAACCACGCAGGGCTCTGTACTGTGGGTCTTTTACTGTCATATCTGAGAATATTCCACATAAAATGAGTTTTCTTTGGTAACTGGCATCCAAATGCTCAGTTTTAACTTTGAAGTTATCTAATAGAGATTTTTATTTTCCCCTCCTCAGACTTGATCAAGTTGCCTGTTCACTAGAGTTTTATTTCTTCTAGGGCCAAATATCTAAATGATGGTATTCATGAAGCACATTAAGAAGTCCTGGGTGTCATTCCTCTCATTAAGGGAGGAATTTGATAAAAATAATAAAAAAAAATTTATAACTTAATTTTGTGACATTTTCCAAAGCATGTAGTACAGTTCAAGGTGGGGCTTTTTTTGGCAAGAATGTGTTTAACACTGGTTTTAGAAGAAAGCTCTCAAAACTATTAAGATTTTAAGATCAAACTGCATATACTGCTCATAGCCACTACTTGCCTCCTTGTGTCGGGGCCGTAACAGGCTCGTGTGGATGCTGGCTCTTTTGGAAAGCAGCCTTGCCAGCAAATCCCCATGGATTTCACCTCTACTCAGCAGTCCATAAATAATCCACCGGCCATCAGTACTCAGACAGTTGATATTCTTCTCCCAGTGTGAGGCCCCAACACAATCTAAAATAATATCGACTCCAGAACCTCAAGTAGAAACAGAAGAGATTTCAGCAATGAAGTCAAGCTGCATTAAGGGTAGGATAATTTCAAGCAAAACTAAAACCTTGTTATTCATAGGTACCAAATCAACCCTGCAATTCTTATTTAACTCTTTCTACTGAAATTAGGAATTGGAACAACGATTTGTAAGGGAATTACAGAATCAAGCACAAAAAAAGAATCTTCAGTTACCCATAAGCAGACTCAGGCATAAACCACATAAACCAAATGCTTAGAAAAGATACATTTTTCTAACAGTTCAAGAATTAAGCGGGGTGAGGCCCTGGCACAGGTTGCCCATAGAAGCTCTGGATGCCCCATTCCTGGAAGTGTTCAAGGCCAGGTTGGATGGAGCTCAGAACAAGCTGGTTTAGTGGAAGGTGTCCCTGCCCATGGCAGGGGGCTGGAACGAGATGATCTTTGAAGTCCTTTCCAACCCAGGCCATGCTTCACTTCTGTGATGATTCAAACACCAAAAAGTGGGGATTTGGTCCCACAGTTCCCTGGGGAGATGGCAATAACAAGGCATAATATTTATACCCGCAGTGAACACAGCCAGAGAGCCCATGCAGAAAACAGCACAATTAAACTAAGGAAAGGCTCATTCTGGGCTGAACAGGATATTGTGCTTACAGGGTCACTACTGTCTGCTCCCTCACCAAGTGGCAGCTGAAACTGAGTGTGTGTCCACATGTTGGGAGGTTCATTTGTACTTTCACAATGAAGTTTGTACCTTGGGTGAACTCCAAGACCTTTTCGCTGAAGTCTTCATTCTTGTAGTTGAACCCTGCAGCTGCTCCAGCATTTGCTGTTGCTTCCAGTTTCTCCTGAGTTCCTGCTGTCACAATGGGAATAGCCTTTGCCAGTCTCACCAGCTGAATGGCTGCCATGCCAACCCCACTGGCTCCAGCATGGATCAACACTCTCTCACCCTCCTGTACTTTACCTGGAGGTGGGCATAAGGAAAGTGGTCACCCTTTGGGCCTAATCTTTGGATTAAAACATGAACAATCTGGAAGATACCAAAGAAGAGGTTGAAAGAGATGCCCTTGACTGGACTTTGGACAATTGGACATCTTTGTAGTCTTCATAAAAGACAGAAATCCAGAAGTAGCAGAGGTTGCAGTGTGCTGACAGGACATCATTTTACCAGCCTCAGTGAAGGGACTTTGTCTTGGCCATGTACAGTTCTGGGCATCTGTGACCAAGATGTTTAAGTGAGTGCAGTCACAACCTTTTTATACCATCAGTAGAAAAACACTTGGAGAATGTTCATCCTGAGAAATCAGGCACTCAGCAATGAGGAGTACCAGAAATGCTGGGTAACGTTAAAGACCAGTCTTACAAATCATTTTACTATCTATTGGTTGCATTACTTTGTGTTTCACCAATTGCTCCTGAAAGTGGGGTGCCAAGTAGCCTCTCACTGATCCCCAGGAAGCCACACTGCTTGAAGCAGGTCTGCAGGGAAGTTATGTTTGGAACTTTTGTTTCTTATTGGATCTTTTAGATGCTACTGCTGAAGAGCGTGGAAGGATATTCCTTGCCTGAGGAAAACCCTGGCAAGTGCTACTGTTTATTACCTTGGCAGCGTATTTTTAAAATGAAGAGTGTGGGTTTCTGCCTATTTTAAATCAACTCAGAGTGGATTTTACCTACAAATAATATCTCCATTAAACAAGGTACAAGATGTTGCCTACTGTAGATCCACAAGCAATTAGTGATAAATATGGTCCTACAGGCAGTGAAGCCAGATCCTCAGAAGTAAGATGTGTTTTCAGGTGTGTGTTAACGTGGGAATAATTCCAGGGTTTAGGCTTAATGGAAGGCGTCCCTGTCCATGTCAGGGGAGTGGAACTAGATGATCTTTAAGATCATTTTCAACCCAAACCATTTAGTGATTCAAACTGAGAAATACAGATGAAATCTGTCCATCTTTCCGTATCTTTCCTTGTAAATATGCAATCAGCAGGGTAGGCTGGCACTGGGGAGAGGTGGTCAAGATTCAGGGATTTGTGTCCGGCATACTGGATTTGGACCCACAGGAACACAGTGCCAGAGAAAAGGTCCTTTGAATGCAGACAACATTCAAATGGAGGCAGCAAGGAGAGGATTTTGTAACAGAAGGGAAGATGAACTGTTTTGGTGGAATAAATGGGCAAATGCACCTCTCACCTACAAAATGGAGCAGCTGAAATGCTGTTAGCCAGGCTTCAGGAATGGCTGCAGCCTGAATAAAAGTCATATCTTTGGGAATTGGCATCAGGAGGCCTTCGGGCACCGTCACATATTGTGCCTGGCCTCCCCCAGAGAGCAGAGCCATCACTGCATCGCCAATCTTCCACCGGCCCGAGCAGCCAGGACCCAGCCCAGCCACGCTCCCAGCTGCTTCTAGGCCTAAAATATCACTTGCTCCTTTGGGGGGAGGGTATTTCCCTCTCCTCTGAAACAACAAACAAACAAAAAACCCAAAAACAAACAAACAAACAAAAAGCGAGAAAGGAAAAGCCAAACATCAATGAGTGTAATGACCTGCAATATTTCATTCACATGTCTCCAGTTAAAATTCCTATCTGTTTAATCCTGATTTTGCCCTATGCATATGTTGCAGTAATTTGACGATCTTCTAGCCTCTGGAAACATGTCTGCTTCCTAAGTATTATTCTTCGTAATTTTATTCTTAAGATAAGAATAAACTGAAGTATTTCTAAGCCTGCTTTGTCCAGGCTAATCCCTGCTGTGGAGGTACTATGGTCTCCATTTCAGAGCACACCTTGCAGCTTAAACCAATAATTTGAAAGTGAATTTGAATAAATTTTCTCCCGCTGGAACTGTGCCATTAGAACATTTCCTTTTCATCTCAAATGCCCAGAAAACAGTCTAAGATCTAGAAAGACCAGAGCTTTGGTTTTACATGTTTTGTTGAAAGGCAGCTGCCTTTCCACGCCAGCCCAGCACTGTACTCAGACAAAAACATTTACCTGCTGAATCAACAAACACCTCTTCTTTCAGCCCTATGAACTCCCCCATCCAAATCTCACCAGGTTCAAACTCTTTTAGCTCATCAGATCTGTCAAAACTTCACAGAGGGGCTTGAGAAATCTGTTGTTTTTGGGTGCATAAATCTGCTTAACATATCGTACCTGGAGTAAATCGCCCCTATTCAGAGCACTGGCAGAGACCTTCAAAAGAACTTCTCCTTCTCCTGGATCTGGTTTCATCACTTCTTTAATATAGAGATTTTCTGGGCCTCCTGGGCAGTCAAAATAGGCTGCAAACATTTTCTCTAAAAAATAAAAGCAAAAAAACCCAAAAAACCCAAACTGATAAAATGTTGCATGAATGCAGGCACAGTTATGTGCAGTGGGAAAATCTGCACAATGAAAAGGTAACAATGAAAGGTAACAAACGGCTTTAAAAATCCCTATTTCCCTTGCTTCAGGAGGTCATTCCTGTGTGCCTGATTTGCTGTGATACAGAATCTCACTGCTGCAGGAGTCTTTCAGGTACCTCCTCAGATGCTGTTCCTA